AGCGTTTTCCGCGGGATTTTTAGATAAAGAACTGCTCGGACCCTGTCGAACAACCGCAAAAGATTTTCTTTCTCGGCTACAAAAATTACCTCATTTTCTCGAGGAAGGTATTTACGTGGTCATTTGTAAGCTGGATAAGTATGCCCCGGAAAGATATCGTATCGGTTAAAGAAAGTATTTCTGAATCCTACACAACTAGGAAGCTTCATCTACTCATCAGATTTGATATTCCCTTTAGAAAATTTAATTACGACTTAGTCGCCAGCAACTGCTATTAGCGATACTCACAGATTGTGGAGACTATGTGGTATTTCGACTGAAGGCGCTCGCACTCGATAGGTGACCCGCCTTTTATCGCTCGAGTCAGCACTCAAATCCTCCATCAGACGATATCTTTACCTTATTTTCAATACACTGAACGCATTTTTGCCTTTACACTATGTCAAGTAGTATTCGTTAATTCTTGCACACACGGCCAACACACACGGCCAACTCACCCGTCCACTAAAGGTGTTTCATCAAGGATCTTGTTGGCCTTAGCAAGATAATCCATGGCAGAACGGCGGCTGCGATCACGAGAAACTGGAACACAGCCAACAAGAAAAACAAAGCTGAACAGGAAACATAATGAACAGAGCCGTTCACAGCTCATGTTCCTCACTAACTCTATCCACAATCCAAGCAGACATAAACTCTTCAAACGAACCTGTGCAGAGCGCACTTTGTAATTGAATCCTATTTTTATGTTTCTAAACAATAAATGGGTCAGTTATTATTTTGTGGTTCACTGCTATCGACCAATGAATACGCGAGAAATGTGAAAATTAAGAAGAAAAAATTCATTAGATAAATAGTTCACTCACTAAGGTTGTGCAGGTTTGTTTACTCATTATCTTGTGTTCGACTTCAGTGCAGCCTTCCATTTTCCTAAGCAAGGGCGAACTAACCAAATCAGAATGAATAGGAAAGTTATCATTATTGGAACGGTAGTTGTGGTCGTTCTTGTAATCGCGATTGCTGTACCTATAGCGGTTTTGACAGGAAAGAAGGAAGATGCACCCAGCATTTCCCAGCGCGCTGCACAAGTCTTGGAGGAGACTCCACTTGTTGACGGGTAAGAAAACCTGTTCAATTCACTCTTTTGCTAACAAAAGCTTTCATCCCAGCTCGGAAGGAGGTGGGGAAAACAGAAAACGAAAACGAATTGTTCCCGAGTTACGTAGGGATTCTTTTAAGTGGCTTCGGTCAAAGTACAAAGCGCCCGTGCTCCGCGAGCAAGGAAACCGTCTCCTCTAGAGCAAAAGGCGCGTTTCAAAGTGTGTGACACTAGCCGTGGAAAGATATAACCAGTAGCTCCTTTTTGCGCAAGGTTGAAGGAAAAGTCACAAGAACATTTCTTACGGAACTTGTGGGAAGGCTTGTCTAAAATGTGCTTTGACTGCTGATTGAGACAGGTTGTGAATTGATACGCTCTCTTTTGACATGTCCACAGATAAATTCTCCCGACGACGCTCAAGATTACTTGTAAAGATGAGTAATAAGATATTTACCGCTTTATCAAGAAACAATAACTGAGTTTAGGGGCACGCATACCTCGAGAAAAATCGACGGGAATGTCAACTAGAACATGTTTTTTTTGTCTTTGAATCTGTTTAACTGATAGCGCATAGCAGAATCCGATAGACGTCGATTTTACTTCAGTGTAGATGAACGCTGTTTGTATATTTTTACCAGTCAAAATCTATTTTTAAACCTTGAACAGTCCGTTTGGGGTATTTAGGGCATCATTTGGCAAGAGAGAGTACTTCTATTGAAATAAGTGATAAGAAAGATTTGCAAATGCAAAGACCTATTTTATTAGTCTTAAATAATTAGCAAACCTCCCTCCCTCTCTCTTTGTGATCAAGTCCGTGCCTGCTCGCTTCTTATCTAGCTTGGGGGAGGGATATTGGTCAATGAATATACGGTGGCTGAAATTAAATTCGGAGTAAACAAAAACCAAACAAACAAGCGCGAACCACACAAAGGGGAACAGAAACATTAACCAGACCAGATGGTATAATCAAATCTCACAGTTTGACATAATTGACGGCCACCCGTACGTACGTTCACATTTTTGTCATTTCAAGCACTCAACATGACCAACATGTCATCTAAGACGATGCTTATCGTTTCAGTTTGTTGATAAGTACAGCAATGATTCATTAGTATCATCAGTGGTAGGTTGAAAGTAAGTAATTTTCAATTTGATGTCTTCTTTCCTTGTTGGGAATGTAGAGTAAAATGAATTGACACGTTTGTCGACATTTTCGTCGATTTCTAGGTCAACAGCCGAACTTTGTTTGCAAGAGCTCTTAAATAAATAGGAACCAGACAAGTTTGTGTCGGAATGAGATGGCCACTTTTTTGTCTGAAAATGAGATTCACAATTAATTATAAACGATTTGAAATTTATTAAGCTCTAGCAAAGGGGAGGGAACAATAAAAATGGCAAGTGACGATAACACATACACTTATAAACGAAAAGTAGAGGAGGAAGGGAGGAGGAGAGTTCAATTTGCCACGAGTGTAGGGTTTTAAAATAATTAGGATGAACTTGCAAAACATGCCCCGTCTTATACTGATCGTTTGCATCAAAACTCGTGGCACTTGAGAAGAGAAAAGTTTACTGCTATCGAAGTCACTAGATAGTCCCGTAATTATTCCTTAATCAACTTTTTGTCGAAATGAACCTGTCCATCATTACTCCTTCCTCGTTGACTTAAAATCTTAACACTACAGCAAAGATAAGAAACAAACTTTTTTATTTTGGGGCAAATAAATTCACATTGTCGAGCCACCAGACAAATTGAAATTATTCACTAGGGACTTTTTCGACGCACTCTCTTTTACGAACCGTTTCCTCGAACTTGAAGGGAAAAAAAAAAAGGTACACTGTCGGAGACTCAGACATTTAGTCTGGTCGCGTGATTGTAATTGTTTAACAAGGACGCCGAATCGCAAAGTGATTGCCGATTGACCCTTTTTGATTAGCGCTTAGCAACAACCAATCAAGATGAACAACTCAGTACTATAAAAGCAGGTTTTTTAATGATTTCGTTAGAGAGTAGCTGAATACGTGAGAAAAAAAAATCTTGTATCTAAACTCAGTCGAGTCAGTATACTGATTGAGTCCAGTTCGATCGTTAGTGCGTATCCCTTGTAAACAGTGCAAGGTTCACAAAACACATTATATTTTTTGCGAACAGTTCTTCGCTCCAATAAAATTTGCCTTCCTGTCCATTACAATTAACTTTTTCAAAGGTTCCAAAGATACGGCGCCCCCCGTATTTTGCTTGTGCTGTGACCTTTGCGATACAACGACTAAAAAAAATTTCTACCATGAGTGAACTTCCTCCACGACCACACGTGCGAGTGAAAGAAAGAACGATCTTTTGTAATAATAATAATAATAGTAAAGTTTTTATGAGCGCATTTAAGAATCTCAATGCGCTTACATAGCATAATAAAAATAAAACATAACAATGATACTAACAGTCAGTAGTACCTACACTAGCAAAATAAAGTTAAATGGGATAAAAACCTATGTAGTGTTTCACAATACTAAAAATAAAATTTCCGGAATAGGAATGTTTTAAGGGCAGATTTAAAAAAACGAAAGAAAAGCTGCAGATTGAAGAGAATCAGGAATGGTCTTCCATAATGTAGGTACACAGAAGGAGAACGCACGTTCACCGTATGTCACAGAATTCATAGTGGGGACAGTAAGAAGTGATTTGGAAGATGAGTATGTCTTTTCATGAGTATGTCTGTAAATAAAGTAGGTTAAGCGTACTGTCGGAATTCTGTTACATACCCAAACATGCCCCACACTTTGATCAAGAACTTACTAAACTGTGTGACCCTTCAACTGCTTTTTTTAATTCTTTTTTCAGGCATAATGATATTCCATGGCAACTGAGGAAGTATTACATGAATCAAATGGAAAATGTAACCTTAGACAAGAGTAACCCAGAATGGCACACTGATATCCCCAGGTTAAGAAAGGGCAAAGTTGGAGCACAGGTAAGCGGATTGGACACGACGCATTTGCATGCCACTTTCCCTTCAAGAGTGAGTCCGTCATTTGAAGGAGACAGATGGGGAAGAAGGCTCGTGCTTGAAGGTTAATATGAACAAAATAAGGTGTTTTCCAGAAAAACAGCGTTATCGGGTACCTTTTTTTTAAGCTCTCAAAATGATCTACATCTAATTTCTCCTTGCCATAAAAATAGCCAAGCCATAACACTGAAGAGAGTAAAAAACTTTGTTACCACCAATTAACCCCACTTAAACGAAATTTTGAGGACATTCAGCCATTGAATGACAAATGCATTGCGATCTTTACGGACAGTTCTGGTCAGCGTACGTTTCCTGTGCCAACCAGTACAAGAACTCGGTACGCTTGTTCCTCGAGCAGATTGACGTCATCCACCGCATGGTTGATAAGTACCCGGATACTTTTACTTTGGCTACCACTGCGCAGGACATAAAAGATGCACACAAAGCCGGAAAGATCGCCTCTTTGATTGGCGTAGAGGGGGGTCATGCCATGGATAGTAGTTTGGATGCCCTTCGCATGTTGTATGACTTGGGAGGGCGGTACATGACGCTGACCCATAGCTGTCACACTCCTTGGTGAGTTGTGTGACAAATATTTATTTGGCATTCTTAATTCCTTTTTTATACACGGTAAAAGTGAAATTTCTTTTCACAGACTTCACAGGAGCTGAACCTTGTTTATGATGAGACTAGGTTGACAAATATTTTTAATTATTTACAAGCACTTGAAACTGAAAAGATAGTTAATGCACTAGTGCTTTAGAACTCCTCCATCTGCTCGCCGGGTTCTGGAAGGAGCAATTTAACAGTTCTGGAGGGGATGGTCTTGCCTTCTTGGTACACCATCACATTTGATATTCAGACACTAGTTTGTTGAAGTGGTCGTACTTAGCTGTGATAAACTGATAAGAATTTTCTGAATTTTATAGTGGGAAAAGGAGTTGCAAGAGAGAACCAACTTATACAAACTATATCGTGTAACCTCACCTCAATCAATCAAAACACCATCAAAAATACGATTCACGAACTCATAGCTAAACAAGAATTGCCGGCCACTGCAAAAATCTTATCATAACCACTCCTAGAACTTTATGTAGTTATTCTTTACCTAAAATTCACATACCTAACAACCGGCTTGGCCCATTGTCTCGGCATGCAGTTGCCCTACCTACCAGCTATTTAGACAAAGTTATGGCTCCCATCGTCAAAACTTTACCATCATATATTAAAGACAGCCAACACGCTCTTCAAATTTTTCGCGACTTTAATTTCCTTGGCCAAGACAAACTTCTTTTCACTATGGACATTACATCTCTTTATACCGTCAATCCTAAAGGCGAAGGTCTTGTGGCCTCAAACATTTTTTTGATCAACGCACTGTTAAGGAACCTAAAACTGAAACACTACTTCGCATAGCTGAACTAGTGCTTACACTCAATTGTTTTTCATTCGGGGACAACTTTTTCAAACAAACCAATGGCGTAGCCATGGGTACCAAAATGGGACCCAGCTATGCCAATCTTTTTGTAGGTTTTGTCGAACACCAATTTTTAAGCCAATACAACGGCCCTAAACCTGAACTCTACGGTCGCTACATTGACGATTATATCGGCATTACCTTCTCTACTAGGGAGGAGCTAACTCAATTCATAACCGCAGTCAATTCCTTTCACCCGGCTCTCAAATATACCTGGGAAACTTCTGACAATTCCTTATCCATTTTAGACATCAAAGTTTCAATTGAAGGCAACGGTTTATGTACCAGTGTGTTTTACAAACCTGCAGATTCACATAGTTACTTGTTGTATTTATCTTCGCATCCATCTCATGTCAAGAATTCCATTCCCTTTTCTCAGTTTCTAAGACTTCGTCGTTT